ATCAAGAAACAATTAATCACCTTTTTCCAATTCTGCCCTTAATGATAGTGTAGTTCAATTGAAAAATTATGTAGACTTTTGGTATTCTTGGTATAGTAGGGGTTATATTAGTCAAATTACACCTTCTATTAAAATTTTCCTTGAGGGGATGTGCATGACCTTACCCCTGACAAACAATTGTGGACGGAGGGAGTTTCTATTAAAGTTTCTAAAATGCATTTCACGTAACTCGAGTTCGCCACGGATTATAAGAAAATTCAATTAGCTAGGATTTATTTAGTCATGAATTAATTAGGGATTACCGATAGATTTTATAGTTATATAATTCTGACAAACAATTGTGGACGGAGGGAGTTTCTATTAAAGTTTCTAAAATGCATTTCACGTAACTCGAGTTCGCCACGGATTATAAGAAAATTCAATTAGCTAGGATTTATTTAGTCATGAATTAATTAGGGATTACCGATAGATTTTATAGTTGTATAATTCCTTATTTTCTAGTAATGAGTGGGATAACACAGCTTAGGAACCTAATATATATTGTGACAACATAACATGTTGGGCTTGAATTTGATACTCAATTAATGTATTTGATTATATATCTCATTTTAAAAAATCAATTAAAGTATTTGATTATCTTATCTAAAAAAATAAATCGTTAGACTGAAAGATTATTTTATTTTCTTATTATTTCTTCAATAACACTAGCCTTTTGATTTATGAAAATAGTTAATTAGAACGAGTAAAGGGGAAAAAAGGTCATTATTCATTTCTAGAGAGCATATTCTTTTGATATCTCAAAGTAATATGAACGCAATTCAAGGAAAAATCTTATTTTTTTAAATTTTAATTTTGCTTTGATTTTTTTTTTTGTGAAGTTGCAAAGTCAAACTTGTAAAGTTTCATCATTTCTCTAAAAGTCGAATGTCTGACTAATTAGAAGAATATAGTACCTGCCTTTGCCTAAAAATACAGTGGGTAGGTAGGCGCGCACCGAAGCCGAAGCTAAGTAGGGGTTCGTGAGTTTGGACAAACTCAATAGCTTTTTCATAGATTTTGTATTTATATTAGAAAATTAAATAAAAATATATGTATATCAACTTGTGAATCCTTGAAAAAATTAATTGATGGCTCAATGGTAAGAAAGGGGCCATGAAAATGCTTTCATACTAGTGTTGTGGGTTCGAACTTCACTATATCAACAAAAGTTTTTCTTTTATTTTTTTAAAAATGGAAGCATGTCTTGCAATATTTTCTCTTCTATTCTAAAATTTAAACCTCAAACTCTTAATCTTGGCTCCGCCTCTGCATAATCTCTCCACCTATTTTTTGATATATTATTATACATATTTAATGAGTTTTCAATAAAAATAAAATAAAATTAGAGTTGAAGTTATATATATATATGAGCTAAATCAAGGGAAAACATAATTTTGTTAGAGACAATAATCAAATAAAAAAATTGTTATAACTTCTTTTCATGCCAGACTACTGTTTGCGAAGAGGGGTATTTTTGGATATTTAGGTTATGTTAGGGGCTTTTTTGTTGGGATATTATAAGGGATGCTATATTTATATCTTTTTGAATAGAAAAGAGAAAAATAATCCTTTTTTCTTATTTTAATTATTATATGGTCGAAAAGAGGACTTCAAAGTGGAGGTAGTTGTAAATTGAAACTTTGCAAATTGGAAGGGAGAAAAGAAATTATATTTACAATGTGACTCGTGCGATAATTCTGAATGATGTCTTCATTAAAAGAACTTGGATTTTAAATTTAACTAAAGTAGAGAGCTCTAGTGGATTGAATCTTTATAATTTAATTTTTAAGAAAATAAATGTCACATGGGATAAGGTTTGAAGCCTAAAAGTTTGATTATCAAAAGATAAGTTTGATTTTGCCTTGGGTGGATACGTTAACCACGATTAGAAACAAACATATTTTCAACGGTAAGCTCAATGGAAAAATGCATGGTGGGAAACAGATTCTTAGGAAAGTTTCTGCAATTTTTTCCGTATGAAAATGTTACTATTTTTTCTCAACCAATTTAATCAAAATATCTATAAAAATAACTATATATGAACAATTATTAGTGAAAATTTCAGCGAAAAAAATAGTAATTTTTTAATAATGGATTTATCGTTGAAAATTAGGTTAATGATACCAAACAACGGAAACAATATGATGTCAATGAATTAGATATGAAGACCATAAAGTAACATTATTTAGTAGTCAAGAATGTTCAACTTCGTTGGTTAGAAAAAAATGAGTTAATATGCAGTTTTAAAGATTTTTAATGACAATTTACCAAAAGACAAAATATAATACTGAGAGAATTGTTCTTTTATGCACACACACCTGGTCTTCATTTTTACAATTTTTTACTGGTTGAAGTTATTTTTAAAATTTTAATCATTCACTTAAACCCAATTAACCTATACAAGTATTAAATTATATCCTGTAGATAATTAGTCAATTGATAAGAAATGATAGATTTATAATGTCTATGAGAATTTTAGAGGCGTATGCCAACAAAAAAAACATTATATTCTCAAGTAAAAGGCAAAAAATAATTAACTTTATAATCGAAATCAGAAGGAAATGGAGTGCTATTTTTAATTTTAATTCATCAACTACGAACTCCACTCTAAAAACAGAGATACAACCATTAATAACCAAGTCTAATTCCAAAATTTGAATAGGTCAACAAATAAGAAGATTATCCATCACAAATGAAATTACGTTAGTAAAAAAATATAAATTGAAACATTTCTCAAACTTCACGAGATAGAAATATTAGAGGTTAAATTGTGACTGTTGCATAATACTAAGCTTCGTATATACTATAGTCTACTCAGCGCATAAAGGACAATAAGTTGTGACAGAAAAAATAAAAATACATTAGTAATACATATATTGGATTTATCGGCTGATATTTTTGAATGATTAATTAGTGTGAACAGATTTAAAAAGACCAATTCAAAGGTTTGACCAGTTCATTTTTGGTAAGTATTATTGACATTTGGAACTATTGCATTGTTAGGTAATATGTACGTTAAGTGAAGTAGAGTCTACTTGTTTGGAATTTAGAGAAAAAAAGGAATCTAGAGAGTGAAAACAAAATGCCGATGCCTTGTTCCAATTTGTAAATATTTGGTCAAAAAATGTTTGCACTAACTTTCAACTTTAACAACCTTGCACACAAAAATATTGGTTACACAAGGGAAAATCGTCATGAGTTTGATTTTTTTTTTTTTAAGTGTTCGATATTTGGATTGAAATTTAACTAATTTAAATTCGTGTCGCGTAAGACTGAAAGTTTGATATTACATAGTGAAATTCATTTAAATTTTTTGACTTTACTTTAAAAATTAGCGTAATTATTTTTTAACTTTAATATTTGGTCATAATGTCTTTTTTCCATCCTTTTTATTCTATGGTGTGCATATACATAAGTAAAATAAATTAGATAATGAAACATGTAAGTTGATGACGTTGAATCAGTAATTAACGAGCAGAACGAAAATATTGTAGAACAAAAAAATGACATGATTGTGACTACAGACTTTAGTGGCAATTAATTAATCGTAATATTATAATTATTGTTAAATATATATTTTTAGAGGTAATTAGCATTCTTGTAAATTGTAAATGTCCCTAAAATTTATAGCGATAATTAATTGATGCTGATAAAACTTTAACAGTCTTTGTTAATTTGTATATTTATTGCAGCTAAAAATTGTTTTTGTTATAGTATGTATAAGTAGTTTCATTAATAAGATTTTTCTTCGAGTAACTGTAAATAATTTTATGTACAAAATATATTACATTTGTGACACCACAATTAAGTCCATGTACTCTTACATATAAAAGTCTAAAATCATATCTATTTCGAAATTTTAATTTCATCAACCTTCCCCGTGATTATTTTATATGTAAACGTACTCAAATATCATCCAAGAACAACAAAATAACGATGAAATATCCGTACCACTTTCCTTGATTAATGGAAATATTGACCGTACCTCTCTGTTTTATATAGATGAAAGTTAGAAATAATAAAATTAATTAATTACTGTTAACTCATCTATTGAACCTTCCTACCAGGAGCCAGGGGCGGCTCTAATAAATCGGTGGCCTAAAGCCAAATCCAAATGGAGGCCTTAAATTTGAATTTTTTTTTTATGAAGTTTATTATAGCAAATTATTTAATCTTTCTTGAGACATAGCACTCATAATTTATCAAACTTCTATTACTTCTTTGCTCTTTTATGAAAAGTCTATATTTTCTATAAATAATACTCAATATTATTTTAGAAAAAGTATGCATAACATATTAATTTTTTTAAAATGAGGCCCCTCAAATTTTGGGGCCTAAGGCGGTTGCTTTTTTTTTTTGTAAGGGGTAGAGCCGCCACTGCCAGGAGCGGAGCGACCCACAGGTGTCAAGCGATACTCCTTTGTCGGAAAATTATATTGTATATAGAAGTTGAATTTTGATTTAATAAATACATATATACAAATATTGACATCTCTTGACACAAGTTGAAGGTTTAATCTAGTGATTAACAGGTTGCGAAAATTCCTTGAGGTCGCGTGTTATCATTATTTTTTTCTCGGAAGCTAGTTGATACAAAATTAACATTCTATTGGTTGTATTTACACAATGGTTTATACCAGAGACATACTAATTCTAATTGAGTCAAAAGAGAATTTTTTACACGCTTGAGTTTTGGCACCAATATTAGCATGATTATTTTGATTAAGATTCTAATTAATTAATCTCACCTACCCATTCAAAAATACAAAGTTGAGCAGTCACATTCTAACACGGAGTCAAGACCACATTCATTTTGCAATATACATAATGGTCTTTAGAATAAGGCAAGTGGGATATATTGAAGAAACCTACAGGAAAAAGAGAGGGAAAAGAAGAGGAAAAGGGTGGTTAGTGCAAAAACATTTGGTCTTTCATAGAGCTATATATATAAGTACTCAAGACATGAACAAAATTCACACAGAAATTGGTTTTCCATTCTAAGCAAACAAAAAAAGAAAACTTATAAATTTGTGCTTTAAGAGAATGGGTAGTCTCTCACTTGAAATGGTATGTACTCTTCATGTTAATTGCATGTACAAACAATTATTTTGAACCAAAGTCTTCTAACACCTAAAAGAAACAATGTTTAGATGTGAGAATCAAAGTTGTTGAATTGTATGACCTCCTCGTTAGATAAAATATGTTTTTATTTACTTAACTAATATATCTTAAATTGGATTATGATATTTGACAGGATTTTGAGCCATCACCGAGAAGTTTAGCAATGACACCAAGAAGTTTAGCACGGCGAAGATTGTTTCCGAATGTGGACAACAAGAAACCAAAGGTGGCACAGCCAGGTGCAGGACCAAGGAAGAACTTGCAACTTGAGGTGATGGAGCCTGGATTGAAGAATGATGGCCCTTCCTTGGACACTATCTTGGTTAATTATTTGGATACACTTACCCAACGAGTCAATTATCATTTAGGTTATCCGGTGAACATATGTTATGATCACTATGCATCTTTAGCACCACTTTTACAGTTTCACCTAAACAATTGTGGTGATCCTTTCCTTCAAAACACCGTCGATTTCCATTCTAAAGACTTTGAAGTGGCTGTTTTGAATTGGTTTGCACAACTCTGGGAGATTGAAAAGGATCAATATTGGGGCTATGTTACCAATGGTGGCACCGAAGGAAATCTCCATGGTATTTTGATAGGGTAAGCTGATATATACTTATGACACAAGCATATCATATAATGAATTTTATTATTTCGGTGCTCTTAATAAATTTTCGTTATATTATTTTTTGCAGGAGAGAGCTACTTCCTGATGGAATATTATATGCATCAAAAGACTCTCACTACTCGGTCTTCAAAGCTGCAAGAATGTATAGAATGGATTCAGAAACAATCAACACATCAGTAAATGGGGAGATGGATTATTCAGATTTAAGAGAAAAGTTGCTTCAAAATAAGGACAAACCAGCAATTATAAATGTCACAATTGGTATGTATTTACTTCAACCTCTATCATTTGTCTTTCTTCTTTTATGGACTTAATTAGTCACCTTACGACTTTTCCCTTTATGGTTCTTTTAACTATATATAGGAACTACGTTCAAGGGAGCTATTGATGATGTTGATGTTATTCTTGAAACACTCAAAGATTGTGGCTATTCACAAGATAGGTTTTACATCCATTGTGATGCTGCACTATGTGGTCTTATGACCCCTTTTATAAACAATGTAAGTTTCACTTCTTATTTCTAACAAACTCTTTAGTAATTCTCAGAGCGACATTCTAATCATTCTTTGTTCAATTTGAACAGATGATTAGTTTCAAGAAGCCAATTGGAAGTGTCACTATTTCTGGCCACAAGTTCCTAGGATGCCCAATGCCTTGTGGTGTCCAAATAACAAGAAAAAGCTACATCAATAATCTCTCAACAAATGTGGAATACATTGCTTCTGTGGATGCCACTATTTCTGGTAGTCGTAACGGTTTAACTCCAATTTTCTTATGGTATAGCTTGAGTGCTAAAGGTCAAATTGGCCTTCAAAAGGATGTTAAAAGATGCCTCGACAATGCCAAATATTTGAAAGATCGTCTTCAACAAGCAGGGATAAGTGTCATGCTGAATGAGCTTAGCATCATAGTTGTACTTGAAAGGCCTCGTGACCATGAATTTGTTCGTCGTTGGCAACTTTCATGTGTCAAAGATATGGCACATGTTATCGTTATGCCAGGCATCACACGAGAAATGCTTGACAATTTCATCAGTGAATTAGTTCAACAAAGAAAACAGTGGTACAAAGACGGAAAAGCAGAGGCTCCTTGTGTTGGAGAGGATATTGGTGCTCAAAATTGTGCATGCTCTTATCATAAGATTGACTACATCTGTCCTTAGAAGACAAACAAGACGAGATCATCTTCCACTTTAAAATTGGAATTTTTGAGAGCTCTCTAATTTGTTTATATGTCTTCCATAAAGATGACATTTTATTAATTCTTTATGAATTTTGATTTTGATTTCCCACAATGGTACAACCGGACGACATAAATGTAACATTTTTTAATAAAAAGGTTTGAGCACTCTTTTATGTTCTTTGTATAACATTAACTTACTGTTAATTTACAATTGAAACATGCATGCATTGTAGTCATAACCTCTATATTTATTAGCCTCCTAAATCGTATTCAAGTAAATTGAAAATATATCAAGCTAGATTTAATTTATTTGGTCACAATTCAAGCAAAATATTCAAAATCATTGGAGGTTATGACATTCTGTGTATTTTTCAAAGATAGAAAGAGGACTTGGATTTTGGACTTAAAAGATGAGTGATATTGATGATGATTAGCTCTGATATTCCCCTCCTTTTGGGTGTATCTTTATAAATATTTTGGTAAAAAACAAAAAAAAAAAGTGGTAGCTAGTTTGCTTTCAAAAGATGATTGAGATTTAAAACTCATCATTCCTTAGGGAGTGATTCTTTAAAGGACAAGTGTTATAATAGACAACAAACTTGTGAAAAGAAATGGTCCAATGGATAGCGATTGACACCTAAAGATGAAAACTTGCTCATGGTGTTGTGGTTAAAGTGCTTAAGCCTCACATGGAAGATGTAGTTTCAAACCTTAGTAGAATAACTATTTACTAGGGGTGTACATGGTTGGGTTGGTTCGAATTTTTCAAATATCAAACCAAACCATTTGTGTCAGATTTTTAAATCTATAAACCAAACCAAACCAAACCAATAAAACTCGGGTTTTTCAACTTCGGGTTTTCCGGATTTTTGGGTTTTTTTCCGGAAAAGTATTCATACAAACATATAATTTACTTGTACTTCAAATATTTCTTTAGTCCTACCAAAATACAACTATCTAAGGTGTTTCTTAAGAAAATAACACAAAATATTATATGAGTAATGATACTAAAATATCCAACAAAAAATAATAATAATGAAATCGCGTAAAACAAATATTGCAAATTAACAAGTCATAATGAAAATGATCATAATTTAAAAGTACTAAATCATGCTAAAATAAGTTTAATAAGTATTAGTTACATGACTAAATATTAAAGGAAATTAAAATTAGATTATGTATTTGAATAAACCAATGTAAAACCATAGAACAAATATTCAATATTATTGTCATTTTTAGTGTTGAATTGATTTTTTTTTTCTTTAGTATTAATTTAATTTTGATTTAAACTTTATTATAATTACCAATATCTATGGATTATAATCTTTATTGAACCATTTAGAATTCTAAGTTTCAAACTTGAAATAATAAAAGATAAAAACTATGAAAAAGTATAAGAAATATTTAAAAATTATATCAAAGTAAATATTTTTATGTATAAAATAAAAATTTAAAATTATATATATAATGTCGGATTGGTTTGGTCTC